TCAATAGATAGCCTTCTCTCCTGTACATCCCTGAGCTCTTCTGCTGCAGTGTTACTGCCACAGAGTCCCAGGGCCAAGGGGGCCAGGCAAAACCAAGAGCACATGTTTAGGAATGACTGGTTCTTTTGAAGCAAAGAGAATATTCTTCCCAGCATCCTGGGAAGGTAAAGGCCATGCCCACCAAAGAAGCCCAGAGATGATGACTTTGAGGTAACACCTCAAAAGTCCCTTGATTTCCCTGGCCTTTTCTGCTCGAGGGCTTCTTCGCTCTTCTCAAGCAGAAGCTCCTTTGCTTATCCAGTTAAGAGAACTGACCATGGGCATGGAGGGGTTCAGCACCCCACTTCTTTTCCCTATACAGGTTAGGATTAGGCATGGAGCATGGGAAGGGCAGTCAGGGATTTGTGTGGCATGGCAGAGGACAGACTCATTCCTCCGTCCCTGGAGACTGCATAACACCCTATGTGAGGAAGGAGGGACTGTGGGCAAGAAGCACACACAGAGATCTCAATCTTAACACAAGCATGCACCATGCAGCCCAACTACAATGGTAAGCATTGGCTAGCACATTGCAGCAGTGGGCTTCAAAATAGAGAATGAGAGGGAGGGGGAGGGGTGAGATGAAATAGATGTTTCCAGGCCTCAGACTTGGAATCAGACTCGTGCAGTTTGCTGGTCAAAATGTAGACTTTTCAGGACTTAACCCAGCTATCAGCATCTGGAGATGAAGCCTGTATATCCCTCCATAGTAGAAGCTCCTAGGAGTGAACTTAATGAACTATTATTCAACTGGCACATACTCCAAGTGGCCCCTAATTGTACAAAGACTCCATCTTGAAATCCTGGTTCCATTATTTGCCCTCCAAATGGCTGGACACAAGAGTACCTATGTCCCCTGAGCCACAGTACCCTTGCTCATAAAACAGAGACAGTTAAATTAATAGAAACAACACAGAACTGTTATGGGGGAGTGGATAAATGAGAAAATGGAAAGAAAAGAAAGTGATTTTACATTTTGTCTAAATTAGTTTCTAGTTTTAAGACAAAGACATATATTTTGATCATATACATGGTTGGCCAAAAGTGCTGAAATATACAGTCAACATATGCAATTGATTGGCATGAATGGGTGTGTGTGTGTGTGTGTGAGCATTCTCCATGAGGTTTTTGTGCTCAAGGCTACCCTATCACAATTGAACCACAGCTCTCCTTCTGGCTTTTTCTTTTCTTTTCTTTTGGTGGTAGTTGGAGATAAGGGTTCCATGAGCTTTCCTACCTGGGCTGGTTTCAAAGCAGGATCCTCAGATCTCGGCCTCCTGAGTAGCTAGGATTACAAGTGAGAGAGCCAACAACACCAGCGAGCTTGAAATGTTTTTAAAAGCTAGTTTGGCCTCTGCTCCTCCCTCCTCCCATCCAGCCCCCTTCCTGCTGTTTTGGGAAATGACTTGAATTTCACCTACAGATCTGTCTCTCTTATCTGTTGCTTGAGTGACTTTCTCAGCCCCTGAGAAAGCTGCAAGCAATCCCATGCAGTGATCCCAGCCTGTAGGGTGGCACTCTGCCCGCCCAGGGGAAGAGTAAATTTATTTCTTCTCATGCTTTTAGACATTATTGGCCACATATTGTTTTAGTGCGGCACGTAATTACAGAAACTGCTCTGAAAAATCTGTATATTTTATCTGTGCTTTATTATACCCAGAATACGCGCCGCCCCCCCCATTCTTTTTTTTTTTTCCAATTCTCCACGAACCAGCTTAAAATATATTTTGGCATCCTTTATGTCATCTGGAAATTGAATAGCCAATTCTTACTGTAATGAAAATACTTATGCGCCAGCCCGGTGATGTACAACACTACACTCTAATTACGGCTGTGCTTTAATTAACCTGAATTGAAGAGTGTTATCATTAAACTGCTGGTAACTTTGAGTTATGGCTTTTCTTTAATTTAAAGTAGAAAACACAGATAATTAAGCCTCCAGATAATCAAATGCTTGAGGAGAGCTTCAATGTTTTGGGATGTTCCTAAATCTCATTAAGTGTCCTTTCTTTATTGATTAGTTGCACCTCTGCCGAATCATTGCATTAAACGAATAATAGCACTAAGTTGAATACATTCTCACTCCCATCAGAAGTTGCTTTTTTTGTATTGTAATGCAGAAGCTTTACCGAACAAATACTAAATTCTCTGACAAAAAGATAGGTCTAAAAGATTCTCCCCCCTGGGGACATGTTCTAAATAGGAAAATCAATCAAGGGAAATATTGGAGCAGTCTCTAAATCCTCTAGACCAGGCTGTTGAACTGAAAGCCAGTGAAGTCTCATACCACCCAAAAGATCAAGGTTAGCCAAATTGCCTGTCTATACAGGCCTGGGATTATTGATGGACATTTGACCTTGTTTAAGACATTAGGGTAGGGGGTAACTATATATATATCTTTGGAGGCAGATAGCATTTAATAGATGTGAATATCCTTGGTGGCCATCTCAGGCTTACAAGAGGGGTCAGAATCTAGTTCTTATGTGAAATGTCAGCAAACATGGCCTGCCATAGTTCCAGTGCACCACTGTGCCTATCCCAGTTGTAACCTGTAGGGGGAGCAGTCCTCACCTATTTTAGGATGAACTAACCCCATATCCAAGGTCAGAAGAAGATAGTGGTCATGTCCATTTTTCATATATGGACATTAAATATGATGACTGCATTTGCCCACCCTTCCTCTCTCCATTTATCAGCCACCCTACCCCTTGACCTCAAACCTTTCCCCCGTGACACAAAGAAATGACATTTTGTTAAAGTGTAAATTAGTTGTTCCTCCCCTGCGTGTACCGCATTTTAGTTTATGTTTGTGTATATAAGTATACAGTATTTTAATATGTAGTTACAATATTTTTAAGGTGTAGTTAGTATTTAGACCTAAATTCTACAGATGAGGAAAAAAAATATGCGTCCTTTATCTCTCTGAGCCTGATTTACTTCACTTACCTGGGGGATGGGTGGGGTTGAAGAGCAAGGGAGAATGATGATGAAAGGGTTACATTAATCAAGATGTGTATTCACAAGCTGACCTGTTGAATTGGAACCCCTTTGCACAACTACTTAAGGACAATAAAAGATTAATTTCAAAGTAAAAGAGGAGGGTGACAGGAAACACAGAAGTGCCCGGGGAGCTGTGGAGAAACTACTTTTCACTCATAAATACTAGAAAACACACTGGGCAAACAAAAGGTGCTTCATGGTCCTCACACTTTTAACACCATAGACCCCCCTCCACTTCCCCTACCACGTATGCTATGCAGCTCAGACCATTTCTGTGTTACACACTTGCAGCTTCAATCACATTTAGATAATGCCAGAATCCGCTAAGTCCTGCTATAAATCTGGATTTTCCATCCTAGGCAGGATGAAGTCCAAGGAGAAGAAAGCTCCTTGGAGATAGTGTCAGTGTCCCAGGTCCCAGGGCCTCTGAATGGTTAACTTCTTCCCACAGTTTAAAAGAAAAGAAAAGGAAGAAATAGCTCTCCAAGAAAGGAACACATGGGCATTACAGCAGGGCATCCATTTTCAGAAAATAACTCCTTCTGAATCAATTACCTATTCACTTTTCCAGTCCATTTAACATTTAAACTTTCGCTTAGAGACAAGGGTAAACAGCCAAACTATTTTGGAGTGCTTGGGGCCTGGTCCTAGGGACTGGCAGAGAACACCTGCTGTGTTCACTGAGAGGAGACTTCTAGGTAAACAGAAGCAGCCCTCCCCAGGCACCAAGGAGAACAGGACAGAATAACCCAAAGGAGCTCAAAGCTCCCCACCCCCCTTTAATGTAAAGGTTGCTCTGGTTTCATTGCACACCTTCAGACATTCCAGAAGCTAGCCTTGGTTCCTAAGTAAACACAGTTTCTTCTCAGGTTTTAACAGTGAGACAGGATGACAAATCCTTCACAAGGGGTAGTGGGTCATGATTAAAGTCCCACCACCACAAATGAAATTACGTTTTCATTTAGTTTAACTTGAACCCAATTGCTGAGGTTCTAAGTAGACAGCCCAAAAGAGTATCATGCCTTACTGGGGACATCTGGACCTCCTGAGGCTAGGTCAACTCCTAAGTGGCCACTGTTTAGCCTGGAGGACTGTGGAAAGCTGTGGCTGTCAGCCTCTGATCTATCTGGTGCACCAACCAGTCCAGGAAGCTAAACCTTGGTACTCTATAACATGGCAGGAGGGCCATGTAAGAGCTCCATGGCTGAGGCCTTTTCCAAGCTCTCGCTGTACACTTGGTTCGACATTTCTTAAGTCCATGATAAAAGTACTCTTCATTGCAACTTGGTCTTTAGTGTTGCTATAATGTGTCTTGAGTAGATGGTAGATTAAAATCTCTTTATCCAGGGACTGGAAAAAATTGGTTTCACCCAAGAAGCTGGGAGTGTGCTTAGCATGTATTAGGACCTAGGTTAAATCCCTAGCATGAGGAATAGAAGGGAAGGGAAGGGGAGAGAAGTGAAGGGGAGGGGAGGGGAGGGAAGGGGAGGGGAAAAAAGAAGGAAAAATGAAGGGAGGAAGAAAGAAAAGTGGGAAGGAGTGAGGGAAGAAGGAAATAAGGGAAAAAGGAAGGAAAGAAAAAAGAGAACATAAAAATGAAGAAGTGAAAAGGGAAAGGAAGGAAAGAAGAAAATCAGAGCGGCACAGCTTCCTAACAACCTTCATACAAATGTCTAGGACACAGATGCATAATTCAAAATATGGAAGTTAAATACAATTGATAGGTTTAGTACAAATGATGCAGGCACACCCATGACTCTCAGGCTTGCAAGAAAAATGGGAGTTGGTGGACACTTTGAAGGTAGGGACTGTATCATGACCACCTTGCTATGTGTCAAACATGCAGAGCTGAATGCCCAGGACCCTCCTTAGTGATTACCAAGTGTGCCTGAGCAAGTGGCAGGCAGGGGTGTATGACACATCCTAAAGAGCCAAAGAACATCCAGTTAACTGTCACTTACTCACAAACAGTAGGGAAGGACAAACCCACGAAGGCACTGGAGAGATATTCTGTGTACATTTCATTGGAGACTCCTTCCAAGTAGTATTTCTGCCATGTGTCTTCCTCAATCTAAACAAGAACACAACAAAACAAGGATTTAAAGTACAACCATAGACTCTAAGAGGAGAACTTGAGTTACAGCCTAACAAACCCAGGAACGCACTAGTTAGACAATGATGACCTTCCTGTCTTATGACCTTCTTAGCCACCAGAAACACTTCCACAGCATCCACTGGAAGTGTTTAATGATATGGAGCACTCTCTTCAAACACTACTTGTTCTTAAACCTGATCCCTTTCTTTCTTTCTTTCTTTCTTTCTTTCTTTCTTTCTTTCTTTCTTTCTTTCTTTCTTTCTTTCTTTCTTTCTTGTCAGTCGTGAGTGTTGAGCTCTGGGCCTGGGTACTGTCGCTCAGCTCTTCAGCTCAAGGCTAGCACTCTACCACTTGAGCCACAGCACCATTTCTGGTTTTCTGGTGGTTAATTGGAGATAAGAGTCTCACAGACTTTCTTGCTTGGACTGGCTTTGAACCGTGATCCTCAGATCTCAGCCTCCTGAATAGCTAGGATTACAGGCGGGAGCCACCGGTGGCCAGCTAACTGAGCCATTCCTTTTTTTTTTTATTGTAAAAATATTGTGCAGAGTGGTTACAGTTACATGAGTAGGGTAATGAGTACATTTCATAGTGAGCATTGTTACCTCCTCCATTGTTTTCCCCCTACCATCACTTACTTCCCCACCTCCCCAACTCCTCCTCCCCCCCCCCGCCCCGGCATTGTAAAGTTCGTTTTCAACATAGTGTCCTGTATATCTCATCATCACATTGGGTCAACCTGCATCCCCATTTAAGCATTCCGCTATACCCCATCCCCTCCCCAAATTACAAAAATGTATATACAAGATGTAGAACACCAGAATCAAATCCAGTGAAAACAGGGGTTATACCATGGGAGAAGAATATACAAAAGAAACAAAAGAATCACATAGTGCATTATAAGTACATTAAAAACAATAGCAAGAAAGAAAAAATACCTGTGTCCCTGTCTTGGGGTACATTTGGCTTAACATTATCTCACGTGGTCATATGTACATAGCCTTTGACCTTCTCTGCTTGTCCATTGTAAACAAGGGAAACCATGGGACCTATGTTTCTTTGGGCCCGGCTTACTTCACTTAATATAATTTTTTCCAAGTCTTTCCATTTCCTAACAAATGGGGCAATGCCATTCTTTCTGATGGAGGCATAGAATTCCATCGTGTTCATATACCACATTCTGTTGATCCATTCATCTACTGAGGGACATTGGAACCCAAGCCATTTCTATAGTTGTGGATTCATGGTACTCACCCACAATCATGATGGACACATCAATGAATTCAACATTTTTCAAAGAGCAATTTTGCTGTCTCATCCAAAACTTGTGTCATTATGTATTTTTAAATACAGCTATTCCATTTAAGTGTTCATAACAAACATATAAGCAGGGAAATACACAAAGATATGTGCAAGACTATCCTTTCTAGTCATGACAAAAATGGAAAGAAATCCACAGGTGGCATACCTATACAACAGAATACTGCAAAGTGATGAAAAGGTTACGATAAAAGTATCTGTTCATAGAAATTTAAGTAACATGTACACTCACAAAATCACATGTATATTCTAGTCCTATTTTTAAAACCACAAAAAATACTAGAAAATTTTATACCAGAACAAAGAGATTCCTGAGTGCTAGAATGATACAGATTCCTGTAATGTCTTGAGGCTTTTAAGAGCACACATATATTACAGTGAAACAGAACAGTTCTTCTCTGGGGAAATAGGTTTTTACACTCTACCTTGAGTATCATAACAAAAGTGCACTTTTAGAGGGGTCTTATACCAAATTTCATTGTAGTAAGTATCTTTTCCTAACTAAGCAAGTTGAGCTGGCTTTTTCAACACATTTATTTATGCTAGGCATTTCTGGAAGGATTTTTATATTGGAATCAAACTTTGAAAATAATATAGCAAAAGAGGGATGGAGGGAGGGAGGGAGGGAGGGAGGGAGGGAGGGATGTAGGGAGGAAGGAAGGAAGGCAGCAAGGAAGGGATGGAGGGAGGGAGGGAGGGAAGGAAGGGAGGGAGGGAAGGAGGGAAGAAATCAGGGAGGGAGGGAAGGAGAGAGGGAGGGAGGAAGGGAGGGAGGAATCTTTAGGATGCCCTTGAGTTGAGGATCTCTCGCTGTCTCTCTGTCTCTGTCTTCCTTCCTATCACCTCAACTCTCTGTGCCAGAATTAGGGCATAAACTCAGAGCCTGGGTACCATCCCTTAGTATTTTTGCTTAAGGCTAGTGCACTACCACTTGACCTACAGCTCTACTTCCAGCTTTTTGGTGGTTAAGTAGAGAAGCTTAGAGACTTTCCTGCTCAGGCTGGCTTTGAACCACCATCTTCAGATCTCAACTTTTTGGATCGCTAGGATTACAGGTATGTGCTACCCAAGTCTTTCTTTTTTAATTGTGGGCCTCAAACTCCAGTTCTTTGTGCCTCTAGCTCCTGAAGTTACTGTGTGTGTCACCATACCCTGCTCCTTAGCCACCACTTCTTCTGTTCTTATGTAAAAGTATCTTGCCCATGACTGATGTCTCAATTAACTGGGCAAAATGTAACATGTGGATTTGAAGGAGATGTGGGTGGAAAGCATGAGAGAGACAGCCCTCATATATTGGGGACACAAGACAAATGTACAAATGAACCAAATGCTTCCCACTTCAATGCTATTTGTCTTCTTTGTCCACAGTCTGGGTGGTTAGATTGTAAGGCTGACTTCATTAGAATGAACCATTTTCAACCTACTCTTACAGGTTAGGTAGCAACTGTGATGCTGCTGAGTGTGTGGGTTATCCACAAGTTGGTCTTTCCTAGAGTGGGGTCTTAAAGAAAAACAATCACAACCATTTCTGTTGCGAGACAGTTTGATTTCAAAAAGTTAACTGCAATGAGTTCACCTACTCATGAACTTGTGAATTCCTCCAATTCAAAAATCTCAATAATTTGCTTTCAGAAAGATATCTTTTTTTCCCCATTTTAACTGATCTGAGGAAATTTTAGTATGTATTAGTAAAAAATTTTACAACCCAGAACTTTCAGGAGAGCACTATGGTCATAATATATTTTGTTTGTAAATAGGATGAGATATGAATTACGTATTGTCTTATAACCTTGTGCTTAACACCAAGAACGTGACAGTGAATAGAGGTCTCTGGAGAAAGTGAAGACACTTATGGTCACTGAAATTCCCCTTTTACACATGACAGACCTCCTGTCAAAGCATAGAAGCATCGATTCTATGATACAAAAGTGCAACCAACCCAACCTACAAGTTCCTCCTGAAAATAGTTGCATGCTCCTCTCCACATTGGCGTTGTCAACGTATTTTTAACTCTAATGTGAAGACACACTACCCAGCAGGGGGAAAAAATGAAGAAAAGGGGCCAAAATGACTAGGAGAAAGGTGCCAAAATTAATTTTCCAGCCATTCAGCAATCAGTCAAAGGCAAACCATTTCCTGAGGCCACAATTCATCCTCTGGTTGTCATATCATACCCCAGCTGTTTCCGAAGAACGCCCAGCAAGGATGAGCAGGTGGTGTGCTGTGGGTTCATATTCATCAAATCCACACAGCATCATCAGGAAGAAGGGGAATAAGCCATTGGGCTAGCTTGTCTACCCCTTCCATGGTTTTATTTATCTACCCTCCATTATCTAATTTTTCAACCAGTCTAGTTTAACCTCACAAGCAAAGGGTTTTAACACCACTCCATGGGACAGTCTGCCATGGAGCAGATTTACCTTCCCAACTGGAAATATCAGCCCTAACTCCTGGCACAATCTTACCTTCCTGATTGCCGATTCTGTGTGTGTTACCAACGATCAGTATGTAATGATGCCTTTTATTTTTTTATGCTTCCTTTGATTAGAGAGAAAGTGTGTTTCTCTAATGCTAACAGCCTGGTGAATGTGAACATTTCAGCTTTCCTGGCTGAGGTCTGTCACAGTCACTGTGATTTCTGTTCCCAGTAAAGAGTCTGAAGAATTCTCTCAGTTAAAGCCAAAACAATTCTGATAAAACAAAAACAACCATCTATGGCTGCCTCTGGAGCCATACAGTGAATCCCCAAAATTATCATACACCAATCCTTATTTAATTGAAAGCAAGTACATTGCTTTAATCCATATATATGCATATATATAATGCATATCAAACATAAAGAACTAAAGGGAAATTGTAGAAACCAATGAACATTATGTTAATGGCTGCACTAAGAAGAAATGAGTCATAACATCTACATACTAGGGCTGCCCCAAATGGAGAGCAGGGGTTAGTGACTCTGCATTTTATTACATTTATTATTTTAAAATAATCTTTCTGAATTTTCAGTGAATTGTCTTCTAAAGGATGCAGTTTTAAATCACAGCAGTGTTTAGAATTAACCTAAGAATGTATTTTCAGATATATAAATCACACAACACATTGCCACAGTCCCTACTAATGTGACAGTCTAAAACAGAGTTCGGTGACATGAACTGGCTGACATTAGTTTAGATGCTATAAAAACCTATTTATTCTGACAGAGATGAGACAGCACCCACAGAATGTGTCATGCCCCTTGACTTCAATAATAAACTTGGAATCCGAATTTATGTGTTCTTAGCTGACCACCGAGTAGACTTGTTAACTAAAATGAGTGGGATCTTTTACACCCATTCCTTCATGGTGCAGTCATGTTAGGCACTGGGGAAAATCTGATGGAGTGATGCAAACCCTCATTTGTTGCTGGAGGGAAGAAAAACAATGTTAAGGAAAATAGGGCATTGTCCAGACTTCACCAAGCTGTTTGAACTCTCTCTTCTATTTCCTTCTGTGCTTTGGGTACCTATGAACTTTGTCCCCATGTTGATCAAAGAGCATGTGGTTATTTCTTTCTAACCCCTTCCCAGCTTGTGCACTGTTCAGTATGAAGAATCCTAAGACCAACTCATAGGATTAAAAAAAATCAAACGAGAATCATGTTTGTTAAGATCTGC